GGGGGGTAGCTCAGGGTGCAGGGAGGGGGTAGCTAGGGGCTGTGTGGGGCCAGGGGGGTAGCTCAGGGTGCAGGGAGGGGGTAGCTAGGGGCTGTGTGCCAGGAGGGCTCCCTGTTCCCCAGGGGTTCTGCCAGCCATGGAGCTGGGTCTCTATGCCCGGGCGGCTCTTACTGGCTGCGTGTGCAAAGGGGGCTGGGAACTGAGGAGCAGCTTCAACCCGGGGCACCAGAAGGAGATGCGGGAACGCTGCAGCTGCCTGCTCCATGGCACCAGCCAGAGCAGCAGCTGCCCTGCACTGCCCAACTCTGGCTTCCCGCCTCTGACCTGGGCAGGGAGAGATGCGGGGGGGGGGAGGGGGATATGGAGCTGCCCCGGGCCTGCTCTTCTCTTGCACTGTAGTTTTTGGGGGAGCAACACCCCCATGTCCCCCCAACTCTGCCCATGGGCTCAGGGCTTCTGCCCCATGGGGAGCACCGGGGCTTGGGGCTCTGGAATTCAGCTATGCTGCTCCCAGCTTCAGCCCCGCGGGGGGCACCGAGGATCAGGGCTTCAGCCCTGCAGCTCCTGGCTTTAGCCCAGTGGGAGGTGCTGGGGCTCAGGCTCTGGGTTTTAGCCATTAAAAGCCGCTGGTCTATGCTACAGAGTTAGGTCAACGTAAGGCAATTTACGTCGACCTAATTATGTCAGTGTCCACACTAAGGCTTGCTCCCACCAATGTAAGTGCCCTCCTACTCTGACGTAATAACTCCACCTCCGCCAGAGGCGTAGGACTTATGACGGTGTAGGTAGGGCGACGCAGTGTCGCTGTAGGACGCTGCCAGTTACTTACATCAGCTGTTGGCTGTCATTCTTGTCAATTTCATGGCTCCACTTGGGCTGTCAGCCAGGGGTAGGTGGGAGGCTCCAGCCAGAGTCCAGTGGTACCCCCACTCCCCCCGTTCCCAGCCGGGCTGCTGCCCACTGCCTGGGCTCCGTGCTCCGAGCCGGGCTGCCCCTGGGGTCCCCAATCGGAGCTGGGCTGCCCCTGGGGTCCCGGCTCCTTGCTGAGCTGCTGCCCGGGCTTCTTCGCCCAGCTCCCTGCTCCGAGCCGGGCTGCCCCTGGGGTCCCAGCTCCCCACTCCCAGCAGGGAGCCTCAATGCAGCTGAGTGTCAGAGGGGTAGCCGTGTTAGACTCTCTGTTGCTCAATGCAGCTGGGCTCCCAGGAGGGAGCTGCGCAAAGCTAAGAGCCCAGGCCTCCCCCCGCTGCCCCTCTTAAGTCGGTGGAAGCGCTCCTGCCGAGGACACGCACCGACAGAAGGAGGGCAGCATGGACATGGACTGCAGTGTCAGTTAAGTTTGTAGTGTAGATGTGCCCTCAGTTGCACTTGGGTGGCTAGCCAAAGTCGACGCCCATGTCACTGTAGTCACACTGCTTTTTTTAGTGAAGTAGCTTGAGCAGAGCTAGCATGTGTACATCTCCCGGCTGTAGTGCAGACATAGTGTTGGGGTGTTCTTCTGTGTTACTATACCAGTATTGTTAAAGCAGCAAAGCCTTCTAGTGTAGACAAACCCTACCTAAATCATTGCAGTTTAAATGGTGCAAACTTCTAAAACTTCTAATATAGACAGTTAAATCAGTTTACACCTGGGTTCAATCAATTTAATTTGAATTAAGTTAAATTGATTTAAACCAGGTGTAAACTGAGTTAAGTGTGTCACAGAAGGGGTTTGCTATGGCTAAACTAAATTCATTGCTAACTTGGTGCAACCTTTGAGTACAGACAATGCCTAATAAGAAGTAGATGTTATTATTATCATCATCATCATCATTTCAGTTCATTCGCTAGCCACCCCGACTAGCTGTGTCAGTGAATTTTGTGTAGTTCCCAGAGGGAAACATGTGCTACCATTTTCAAAGCAGTTTCCTTTCTGAGGGAAAGAACCTGCTTAAACAACTGCTTTGCAGAATGTTATCTTTTAATCAAGCACCCGAAGAGTTGATGAGCTCTAAAGAGGAAGCCTAAGGACTAAATTCATGTGTGCTACTGTATTCCTATGGGCCACAAGCACCCGGGGACACTCAAAGGTGATGCATTGTTGGAACATATAGTCTATATTGCACCTGTGTATAAGCCTTCAGAGAAGCTGAGAAAAATTATGTTTTTTAAGTTGTTCGGAGGCTGGTTAGGCTGCTCTTTTGATCTCTTTCTACTTAAGAATGACCATACTGGGCCAGAGCAGTGGTTCATCTAACCCGGTATCCTGTCTTCCGACAGTGGCCAGTGCCAGGTGCTTCAGAGGGACTGAAAAGAACAGGGCAATTTCAAGTGATCCATCCCCTGTTGCCCAGTCCCAGCTTCTGCCTGTCATAGGTTTAGGGACACTCAGAGCATGGGTTTTGCATCCCTGCCATCTTGGCTAATAGCCATTGATGGACCTGTCCTCCACGAACTTGTCTAGTTCTTTTTTGAACCCGGTTATGCTTTTGGCCTCCATAACATCACATGACAATGAGTGCCACTGGTTGACTGTGCGTTGTGTGAAGAAATACTTCCTTTTGTTTGTTTTAAACCTTCTGTTTATTAATTTCATCGGGTGACCCCTAGTTCTTGTGTTATGAGAAGGAGTAAATAACACTTCCTTATTCACTTTCTTCACACCAGTCATGGTGTTATAGCCTTCCATCATATCCCCCCTTAGTCATCTCTTTTCTAAACTGAATAGTCCCAGTCTTTCTAATCTCTCCTCATACTGAAGCTGCTCCATACCCCTCATCATTTTTGTTGCCCTTCTCTGCACCTTTTTCAATTATAATA